TATTATTATTCAGGAGAACCACTGTTTACGTATCAAGATCCTGGGTGATTGCTATTACTGTGTGTCTGGGTTGCCAGAAGCAAGAGCTGACCATGCACACTGCTGTGTTGAAATGGGAATGGATATGATAGAGGCCATCTCGTAAGTACCATACTCCCCATGGAGAATTTCATAACAAATAGCAAGTAGATTCTCTTTCCTGTTAGATCTTCCTTACATCAGTAGCAAGGTAGCCACACCAGGGATCTGATGCCAACAAAAAGGGAGACCAGCTAGAACAAGAAAACAAAATGCAGTAAAGGTTTGACAGCAGACAGACAGATAGTTGAGTCCGTTACAGCCACATGGATATCAGAGTTCAATCGCCTGATGAGAAGGGCAAAGGTTACTGTAATTACTGGAAGTCTTATTCCCAAAGGAGGATTCCAGTGAATTACAGAAATGTGAAATCAGACGATTAATAATAACTTGTTTAAATTTCAGTCACTCTTCACTTATATGTCTTTAAACGAGCTTTTTACTCACCATACAATTCCTCTGCTAAGGTATGTCTTTTCTAGTTTAACTAATCCTTCTCTGTATGTCCCTATGCCAAAAAGGTCAGATTCAAGACTTTCTTACTTTAGTTAAATTAATTATTGAAGAAAACCATAAAGCTAAGTCTGGCACAGACTGGGACAGATCCATGGTGCTTTTTCCTTTATTTCCACTTACCTCCCCATCTTTATTTTTTCTTTTAGAATCTGTTCTGAAGCTTTGCTTGCTCCTGAGGTCAGACTAGCAATGCTGTGTTTGTCCAGAACATTCCTGTCTTTACAGAATAACAAATATGAGACCCATATCTAGTTATATTACTTGGATGATTGCAGACTATGTTGAATATTGTTTGCATCGGACATGAGCTTTCACAGACCAATTCTTTCAGAATTCAGGGAGGAAAGATTTATTGGTCATCTTGAACATATGCAAGTTTAGGCACAAAGTTCAGTCAGTTTTGGATGGTAACTGGCCTTAACATCTACACCAACCCTGCTGCACAGACACTGCTTCTTTTTCCCTTCTCTTCTAGTTTTTTATTTTGTGAAAGCATCTTCTGAAGTATCAGTGGTACCAACAGAGAAGTAGAAGATCTTTATGCAATTCTCCTCTAATTCATTCAATAAATTGATGGGAGTTTCCACTTCATCTTAATAAAAACCAGAGCTACCTATTTGCTGAGCTTGGTACAATACAGCCCTACTACTTGAATTTCTGCAAGGACATGAATACACACCCACACTTTTCAGCCTCATTTTCATAACACAGATCATAGTTTGAAAAGTAGTGTTTTCACCCAGGAGACCCCATTCAAAATTCCCTTGCTTTGTATACAGTGTACGGTGTCAGGACACCCTACCTTTACTTTCCTGCTTTTAAACTCTATTGCTTTGCAATAGTCTCCTTTTGGGGTTTGTATGCAAAATGCATAATAAAAGGAGTTGCAAGCAACTAGTTTTCAGTAGCCCTTGAAAGGATGCTATTTCTTCCACCTGAAGTACAATGAAGTGGCAGGTGACAAAGTGTCTTGTGAAACACAAGAAGCAGCAATTCTTAGCCACCAGCCCTACAAAGAAGACACTGTGTACATTGTCCAGAGGAGTCTCAATTTCTGCAGTAGTTGGCCTGATGAAATCCAGAGACCTTGACACGTTGCTGTGTAGTCCCCTCCAAGGCTGAGTAACACAAGGATGTCTAGACTTCATTGATTAACTGCAACCCACCAGACCTTGAAATAACCATGGACCTGAAGTGCACTCAATGTTTGTTTACAAATAGCTGTTCAGCAGCCTTTAAAACTTGTTTTCACTTGATGTATGATGAATGCATTTAACAATTTTGTCTCTTAATAATTCTGGAAGGTGACTCTGTTCTCACTACCCCTGCTTCCCCCCCACCTCCTCTTCCCCTAAGGATCAAGATAAAAGGTTTCACTATTAAGGTAACCAATAACTACTGAACATTTGATAGCAGGTAACAAATAGCTACTGAACATTTGATTGCAGGCTTCACCAACACTGGGCCCTGCCTGTAGGCTGATTTCATCTGTGCACAATAACGGCAAGGAGTGTTACCCCAGATCAGAAAGATAGAATTATATTCACTGTACTGCTGGTATAAATGAACTAAAAAAAAAAAGGAAGGTAACAAAGGATATTTCATTTGTCTATAAAGGATAACCAAACTCATTTGTTAGCTGCAAAGTCTGGAGAAAGTCACATTTTCTCCAATGACTCTACTGGGAGAAATTCCCTGGTCTTGTGTCAGTAACATGGCTTGGCAGAGGGTGCAGTAGGGTTTGTAGCACTCGTGCAGCATGTTCTTCCTCCCTCCCCAGTGCTGTACCCACACTGCAGCTGCTGTTTGTCCTTGCAAGGATTATGGCTGCAGCTGCATTTTCATTACCCTGTTGCTTTCCCAAGTGTTGTGGTTGAACCTCTTTCTGTTCATAAGCCTGTGGCACCTTACCCATATGCAGCTTCCCTTCCCTGCTAGAGAATCTCTGCTGCTTGTGAATAAAAATAATGAATGTCACATAAGCGAGTAGATAGTGAAACGTAAGATAGGGATTATAAGGAAAAAGGAAGTGTAAGAGGGCAAGAGCTGTTTCAACAAGAAGTCATCATGAACACTCGTTTAAGGGGCATATTACACTGTGAGGAGTGAACTAGAATCCAGAATTGCTCTTTAACTTATTTTCATTAATAACTAAACCATAATTAGATCTGTGTTGATGTTAGGAAGTTGGGAGGTCTTACCTGTCCAGAGGATGTTATCTAGAAAGGACTAGATGAACTTGAGAACCAAAGAGGTTGAAATCTGATAGGTATGAACTACAACTTCATGCTGCAAGGAACTAACAACAATGGAAAGGACTGTGCTATGTGATGTAGGTGAATTTGCCTGTGAAACATGGACATTTGGGGAATGATGTAATCAGCAATAACGAGAAGCAGAGTTGTTCTGATGGAGTCATCAAGACTTTCCCCTACCCACATTCCTAAATATATTTTCCATGTGAGCAGCTCTTGAAGTTAACTTTTGCCCTAAAAGGGCAAAACCCACAAAGTATTCCAGCAGTCATTTTAGGAGTAAGCAGAGCATCCAAAGCCTCATTAAAATCAGAGCTTGAGAATTTGTAGCTGCCTGTTTGGAGTGACTGTAATAGATGTGGTTCTCTGGTTTTGCTGCTCTGACTGCAGCTGTAAGCCCTGATGAAGCTTTCCAACTGCAGTGGGGTATTTCACACACATCTCATATTTCATCTGTGGAAGAGTTGATGTTTGGTGCCATACAGACAAATTAAGATCTCTGAAATCATTTCCTTTTTCTCTTTGCAACATGCTATTACTCTTAATGAGGCTGACTGCTGGCAGGTTATGTCCAGCTTTGGTATGGAAATCAGAGACAGCACTTCATTCCTTTTAGTGCCCCAAAGATTTTTTTTTTTATGAGTTCTCAACTTGACCGTGAGTTCAGAGTACATGGATTTACTCCTTTTCTAATTAGTACTCTGCTTGGCCAGCCAGGCCATCCAAGAGCAGTACAGCTGGTCTGGTTTTGTTTTGTTGTCCTGTTGATATGGATGAGCAGTACCATGTGTATGTGTGAATAATTAATTTATGGGTCATTATGGATTTTTGTATTCTGGGTGCAAGTGTGCGCCACTGACTACAACCATGCGGTTCTTAGTAATGTCCTTTTTCCTTAGTGATGTCCTTTACATATCTCTTTTCAGACTAGTCCGGGAGGTGACGGGAGTAAATGTCAACATGAGGGTTGGAATCCACAGTGGGAGAGTTCATTGTGGGGTCTTGGGCCTTAGGAAGTGGCAGTTTGACGTGTGGTCCAACGACGTTACGTTAGCCAACCACATGGAAGCAGGGGGCAAAGCTGGGTAAGTTGCTTCATGAAAGCTGTCATGTTAATCTGTGTGTTGTTTTGTGTCTGACATGTCACAGTGATGTGGGGAAATGGGGGGCAGAGGTTTAGGGAGTCTGTGTGTCTGCTGTAAAATGAACTGTGGGTGTAGTGTTTTAAGCATATACAAATGTTAGCAAGGTTATTCTGTTCCATGTCTACATGTCTTTGGTTAGAGAAAGTTTACAAAATCCTAAGATGGGTGTATCCTGCTCTGGTAAGAACTGAATTCCCTCTTGGGAAACAAAGCTGATCAATAACAACAGAAGTGAGCGGGTCTGTGCAAGTACTGGCAGAGCTGGTTATGGTTACAAAGGAATGTGACTGTATGTTAACAGTGTTTGCTGGAGAGCATCCCAGCTATCGACGGATATTGTATGAAGCATTGTTTCAGACCAGCCTTTTGTTTTGAAACATTCCTGTGAGAGAGCAGAATCAGTTTTTGTTTCACCTCTCTATGGACCAGCTGAAGATTGAGTTGCTGCCAAGTTGACTCCGTGCAATAATTTTTCTACGTGCCTTTCCATCTTTTCTGTGCTCTGGAAGAAAGCGTGAGACTTGATCTTGGACTTATAGAGGCATCCTACTTGATAGGATGCCTCTATAAGGCACTCCTGTACCACAGTGATTATTGTGATACAACAAAATAGACACATGCTACTGTATATATGACATGTGTCCACCGAGTAGACATGTCCTTGTGAAGGGCTTGTGTTTGCCAAAAAAAAAAAAATCTGCTTTGTGTTAGAACAAAGTGAATAAAAGAATGAGTGCTTTATATCTAAGGAGGTGTAAGGTGCTTAGCGTGAACACCTCTCCCTTTAAGAAAATGCCTCCTGGCCTACTTCCTTTAAAATAGATGAAACTCCCAAACTACATCTGTAAGAGTAGAAGCATGGCTAAATAAATTGGTTTTTATTGCTTGTTTGTTCCAGTACATGGAACCTGTCACTGACAGGAACTGGCTTTTTAGGTGATAACTTTTCAGAGCCTACAAAACCGGCTTGTCTTTTGTCTTATTCAAGGCGCATCCACATAACAAAAGCAACCCTGAACTACCTCAATGGAGACTATGAGGTGGAGCTGGGCTTTGGAGGAGAACGCAACGCTTATCTGAAAGAGCACAGTATTGAGACCTTCTTGATTGTACGGTGCAGCCAGAAACGGGTAAGACCAAAGTAATGCAAATTCAGATACTTTTAATAACTAGATGATCTCCAACACACCAAAGTAGAGTCACCACCAGCCTTTATAGATGAGTTGACTACCTGACCTTCAGTGACAAAAACCCCTGTTTCTCTGTCCTCTTCCTGAACTTTTGCATGCGTAGAAGGGAGTGTAGCCACCTTCTGCATAAGGTTTCTGCACCAAGTACTTTCTAGTTCTATCAAAGAAACTGTCCTGAATTGTTTTCAAAATAATTTTGAAAAATGTTGTTGATATAGATATGTATTTTTTCAATTAAATTTGACACTTATAGAAGTTCTTAGAGCAATAAATTAAAATCACAAAGATCTCTTCTCTGTCAGATTACAGACAGAGGTGTTTTTGTCCACCTGCTCACCATATTGCCATGAACATAAAGATTGGGACAGTTCTTATCATTACTTTTCAGCTTCTGTTGCTGAAGGTGGGAAAATACAGCCCACTAGAGTGATGGATGATTACTGTGACAGTGGGATGAGATCATACCTACTGCTATGACATGGGTCAGGCTGCACAAAATAAGGCTATTCGGGCATTACTGACTTGAACTTGAGTCAAGTCAAACTCAAGTGGACTTCAGCCAATATATCTTCATTTTGTGACACTGCCAATAACAGAAAATAGGTTCATGTTATCACTAGTTTGTATTCTTTTAAATAATGGTAGACTGTAATACTAGAAAAGGACCTTTTTGATTATCTAGTTGAGCCTAGCCAATAATATTTCTCTAAGTAATTTCTGCACTACAGACACTACTTTGCTATTGACAGTACAGGCAAGCATATGAAGATTGGCCTGAATTGAAAATAATTTGAAATGTTTCTGAATCTAAGACCAATTAAACCTTCCCTGTAAATATGACTACCATGAGACTAAATGAATTAGTGTTTGTGACATGTTCCAATAGCATAGTTGATTTGAATAACTATAACACCTATACAGAAATACTTTGCTACGATTGCCTCATTTCCTGAGAGAATGGAAGCCTCAAATCTTCTTAGTGGACATTGTGTAAAAAATCTCCAAGAAAATCCCTTATCATCTGCTAAAGAGGGAAGCTGATGTTTTGGGTACTATCTGCTCATAAGATAAATCTCATTAACAATTGTCAGTCTTCAAAAGAGGATTAGAGCTTGCAGTGAAAGATTATTGTTTCCTGAGCATCACTGCCTGTCAGTGGGCCAGCTGATGTTTATACCTAAACCACTTCTTTGCTGGGTAGATTTAAGAGCATAAACCAAAATACCCTTATAGTTAGTACCCATCTCCTGGGGTGGAGAAGCTATATTGACTTCTTATATCATGCACTCTCCAAGTTGTCTGCATGTTCTTGTGGAGGACTGAAGTTTTCTCTGGAGGCAAGAGGAAGACCTAAGATCAGGATTCTGCTTCATGCCAGTAGTCGTGGTTTAACCCCAGCCAGCAACTGAGCCCCACACAGCCGCCCACTCACTCCCTCACAGTGGGATGGGGAAGAGAATCAGGAGAGTAAAAGTGAGAAAACTTGTGGGTTGAGATAAAGACGGTTTAATAGGTAAAACAAAATCTGGGCACGCAAGCAAAGCAAAACAAGGAATTCATTCACCATGTCCATCAGCAGGCAGGTGTTCAGCCATCGCCAGGAAAGCAGGGCTCCATCACGTGTAACTGTTATTTGGGAAGACAAACACCATCATTCCAAACGTCCCCCCCTTCCTTCATCTTCCCCCAGCTTTTGCTGACCATGATGTCATACGGTATGGAATATCCCTTTGGTCAGGTGGGGTCAGCTGTCCCAGCTGTGTCCCCTCCCAACTTGTGCACCCCCAGCCTACTTGCCCGTGGCGTGCTGTGAGAAGCAGAAAAAGGCTTGACTCTGTGTAAGCCCTGCTCAGCAATAACCAAAGCATCTCTGTAATATCAACACTGTTTTCAGCACAAATCCAAAACATAGCCACATACTAGCTACTATGAAGAAAATTAACTCTATCCCAGCCAAAACCAGCACACCAGCGTAGACAAAACCATCAAAAACAGAGATACAGAGCACTTGGGAGTTGACTTCATTTTTTAACACAAGGCTGTCTTTTGACTAGGAGACTGGAGGGCAACTCAGGAGAGATGTGGATTCTATTCCAGACTTGGATTTTGAGGAACTTGCACCTTTTTGCCTTGATTTTCTCTGGTAAAATAAAATGGGTTTGGGACGACCCCCCCCCCACCTCCCCTTTCCCCCCCCCCTTCCTTTCACTGCTTTATACGTACTTATTGCAGCTCTCTTACACAGTGTAGTCCTTAGCTGAAGTCTGTAAGCACTACTATATTGCTGCTTTAATGTGCTGCATCCCAGAGTAACTAAGAGTTGGGACATGCACATGGCCTCTGTAATTATTTGCTAAATTGAAACATAAAGAAACTGCTACCCAAGGTTATGGATATTAATGTTTAGAGTTTGAGAGGCTTCTGGTTTGCTCATACTGCTGCAGCTTTCTTGCTCCCGTAGCAAATTTCCTATCCCTTTGTGAATAGTTTTAAAGTTCTCTCTATCTTCATAAACTCATTTTCACATAATACGAAGATCAGAAGTGAGAAAAGCTTTCTCCTGTAGTCAGGTCAGTCAATCTTGAATATTTTGCCTGATGCTAGGCAAAGTTCTAGCAGTTCACGTTTTCCTTCCATTTCTGCTTGATTTTAATGACTTCTTGTGATGTATTTAATCAGGTTTTTGGCTCAGTCTGTTCCAGTAATGGCCATAAAATGTTCACCTAACTTAGTAATGGGTTCCTGTGAGTCGTGTCTGGGTTCCTGCTATCCTCACACACACAAGGCACACAGGATTTGCATTGACCTGAGATCAGATGCATAGTTGAGCCAAGTAACTGTTTGCCTGAGGTATTCCTCAGTTCACATAGGCAGACTTGAATTATCCAAATACCTGGTCCATCAGTCCCACAGTCATCGAAACCAAACACCACTATGAGTGAAAATGAATGTATAAAATGTAACAGCATCTGCTCCATACCCTTTCTCCTTACTGTTGCCGTGGGGAGCCATAACTTTGCATTTCCTGTCTTTTTTTGCCATTTCTTTGGCACAGACTAAATGGAAGGAACATTTATCTAATATTTTTGTTCTCAGACTAGCTCCTTCTTTGAAAAGAGGGGGTTTTTTTTCCCTTGTTAAGGATGCTGTTAACTGGAATATATTTAGTTGAGTTTTGGGGGGGGGCGGGAAAGATAAATTCTAATCACTCAGTCTTCAAATAACAACCCTAGAGCTGAAAATGTAGTTCTTGTTTTCTATCAGGTACACAGGAGAGTTGCTTTCTATTGAAAGAGAATAAACTACAAAGTCTTAAAATCCAGTCTGCTTACGTTTTTCTTTCCTCATCTGTACCTCCAGATCCTCTTTCACCTTTCTGTTTGCCCTGTCCTGTGATGCTGCTGCTCTTGTGGGTGAGCACTTGCCTGTGAAGAAGGCAGTGCTCAAATATCCCAGAGCAATGCAGGAGTGACTTTGTTATTACAGTGTTATGTTCCTCTACATAAAAGTTTTCATGGATTTTTTTGAAAGCATGGATCCAGAGTTCCAAATTTGTTTCCCTTGTGTTTACTTTCAATTCCTTAAGCTAGAGTTTTGATAATTAAAATATAAAACAGTCTTAACTATGAGATACAAAGGGTGCCATGCATTTCATTGCTATGTGAACCTAAATATATATACACACATATACATATATCTAAGTATATATAAATAAAAAGTAATTCTTGTCATAAAATTAGCAGGCTCCACCATAAAGGTCTGTTGAATCTTTTGCTGTGGTTTGTTTGCTCACATTAGTTCTAACAGTGGGTTGTTCTAAAACCTGGTTGCTCTGGTTGTCTGGTGTCTGCTGTCAGACAGCAATTATATCCCCTTTTGCCCTCTCAGTCTTTTTTCTCCTAAGACAAACTCTTCTAATGTTTTCTCACAATGAGGAAGAGACAAGCACAAGCTCTCACAGCAGGCTCTTCATTTTTGTGATCATCGAAGGAAACCTTTACCTTTTGCATAGTTGTATTATCTTGGTGTCTGATATGTATCCTGGTGATGACCTAATGTGATTCCTGATCATGAAGTTTCTGACTGTAATCTCAAAGTGAATGATCATGCATTTTGTACACTTGAACGTCTCAGGTGCCATTTCTACTATGTCAGCCCTCAAATGTCAGCTGCTAATACTCTTTTTTTCTTATCTATCAAATACTACCTCTGCTTCTCTCATTAGCAAAGTCTGTCATTGCTACACTTGGTGCCAGGTGCAATAAGAAAAATATTAAAGAAGATCTGCCCCGAGACTAATAATTGAGTAACTCTGCTAGCGACTTTCATCCAGCCTAATATTTCCTCATTTAAAACTGTCTCTTGCTATTTCACTGGAAAGCAGCTCTTTGCCCAGTTTCATGTTCCCCATCTGTCTTCGACATTAGTCTCCAGCACAGAACTCTGTCAAACGCTCTGTGGAAAAGACAAGGCCAGTGAGAGCTACTGTATTTTTTCTGTTTAGCAAAACTTGGATGCTCTCAAGGCTGTTAATCCCAGCCCAGCATTTGCTGCTCTACAAGTTCTGTGTCATGATCCCTAATTAAAGTATCTGTTACCAGAACTGAAACTGCAGTTGGCAGTTTTGTGCAGATCTGGGATGGAGGTTGTCCTTCTGACTTCAGCACATCACACTTAAGTTTTGCCTCCAGCTTAGTCATGTTTTCCATTTATAACCCTACACTTATGATCATTCTTCCCTTTTGCCTCTGCTGTGGCAGCAGTGATTATCTGAAGAGAAATCATCTATTCTTTCAGTTCTAGACTAATGTAGATGTTTAGGTTTCTGTTATCCTTGTGTTATACAGGGTGGCTTACACATAGTGACTTCTGTCCTTATTCAGTATTTTGCTCATTCATTTGGATATGTGTTTCTAAAGGACTTAATACCTTAGCATAAA